CTTCCCGCTGCTCCCTGCGCAGCCCTCGGGAACCGGCCGCGTCCCCCACGGGGCTCCACTCACCCGCAGCTCTGCCCCGCCGCCCAGGCTCTGCCGATCGCTCCGTCTCCCCGCCGCCCCCAGTGGCGCTCGGCTTGGCTCCTCAGGCGGCCGTAGCAGCCGCCACCACCGCCGCCGCGGTGCTCAGCTCCTCCTCCCTGCCTTCCTCCCCCTGCAGCCGGCGCTCGCTTCCTCCCGCTTCCCCTCCCTCTCTCCTCCCCCTTTTTGCCGCCTCCCTCCTCCCTCGGCCCTCCTCCCGTCCACTTCACCCCACCACCACCACCGACGTCCTAGGGCCACCACTGCCCCGCCTCGCCGCCGGTCCTCCAGAGCCTACCCCCACCTCCTACCCGGTTCCCACCTCCTGCCCGGCCCCCTCCTGGCTCCCCCTCCACCCAGCCCTCCCAAGGCTTCATCCCCGCCTCCTTCCTCCTCCTCCCCGCCTAGTCTTTGGCACTCGCAGCGTGCACGCGTGCAAAGCCAGGCTCCTTCACCACCACAGTGAAAATATTCGCCTCCTGGTGGAAGCCTGGTGGAGTGACTCCTCCGGTGACCCGGTTCTCCAGACACTTCTTAGTATACTTGGGTACACAGTAGGCACTCCCGGGCCCTCACTAACTTCTTAAAACAGTGAGGCAGTGTGATGATGAACTAACTGCTGGGCAAGCTTGGCTTTGGAGGTGTGCTAGATCTTCCAGTTTTCTCCCTGTGCCTTGAAAAGGGAGATTCTTGGAGACCACAAAGTGGCTTTTCTCACAGCCTCACTCCCCACCTCAGTGCCAGAGTTGGGGCCTTCTCCCCGTTCTTCTACCTCCTGCCCGGCTCTGAAGTTTTTCTCTCTAACCTCCAGCCACACAGTCCACCCTTGCTACTCCCTCTCTCACAACCTCTCAGTCTCCTCTCTCCTGCCATGCCTTCAGTGATAGACTAGCTGGTGGAAAAGAAGCTTCTCCTGTCAGATTTCCCTCCTCCCTCCCCAGAAGAGAGCAGCTGCTTTCTAACCCACTCTCAAGAGCAGTCTACCTAGGGGCAGGGGACCCTTCTCCATAGGGACTTTCTACCTAGTGACTGGTTTGGCTTTTCTTACAATTAGGAAAAGGACGGCTCTAGATTTAATATTTATTGAAGACTCACGTAGTTAGAATATCCAGTTAGGCACCTTGCCTAAGAAACACTTTCAGATGCTGGCTGCATGCCAGTCTTAGTAAAATACAGTCTACTGTATTATCAGGCCAATTCCCTCCCATCCTTTCCAAGTCCAGTCTTCCTGACAAATACAGCCAGGCAGGCTTGTCTGACTTCAAGTTTTGTGGCACATCTACCATAGGCATGATGTTTTTCGAGTGCTAATTAATAAAGAATGACAACAAACAAGAATCAGTTAAGAGGCTCACCAATTCTCCTCTGGGTATTTTGTTAAATCTCAGAAATATATCCAAAGAACAAAGCTAGCTCCTGAAAATGGCATGTAGCATTGAAGGCCTCAAGTTCCTTCCTCAAAATAAGTGAGAATGAGGGTATAACACTCAGTCATGGTTTCATTAACCCTCTGATTTCCATGATGACCTTCAGTTGGAATTTAGACCTAGACACTCCTGTGAGTATAAAATGATCAGCTTTAATGAGTGGAGTCAGACCAATTTCCTAATAGGACTCAAAAATTCCTCCTTTTGGGGCTGGAGAGATGGCTCAGCAGTTAAGAACATTGACTGTTCTTGCAGAAGACCCAGGTTTGAATTCCAGCACCCACATGGCAGCTAACAACTGTCCGTAACTCTAGTCCCAGGGGATCTGACAGCCTCTTCTGACCTCGGCAGGCATTGCAGGACATGAGTGCACTTACCTACATGCAGGGAATATGCACATATACATAAAATAAAAATAATAAATAAAAATTTGTTTAAAACGTTTTAAAAATTCCTCCTTCTTTTCTTGTAGGTAGACAAGCGAAGTGTTTTCAAATGTACATTCTAAACAATCCTATATGTACCAGTTATTTGCTGTGTTACCTTAGATGATTTTCTCACCCTTTCTGTGCCTCTATTTCATATCTAGTAATTGAAACAATGTTATCTACTTCATAGGTTATGCACATTCAAATGAGTTAAATTCTGTAGAGCTTTAGGTAATATCTGTTGCATGCAAAGTACCCACTCAGAGCTGGATGTCGTGGGAGGCTGAAGCAGGCAGATATCTATGAGTCTAAAGCCATTCTGATCTACATTTCCAAGTTCCAAGCCAACTAGATCTACTAGTGAGACCCTGTCTCAAAAAATAAAATAAAATAAAATAAAAGCAAAGTACCCATGAAATCCAACCTGTTGTTACCACTCTGGGCACTTGCATGTGTGCTTAAGTGTGTGGGCATGTATACCCCAAATTAGTGCCACCCCCACATCTGCAGAAACAACCCTACCCATCCTTCAAAACCCACGGAAAATCACACTTTTTCAATCCCCCACATAGTTTCCAAATCGCTCTCCCTCCTCCAAACTTTTACATCATTTATTGCCTGCACTACTTATTTTATTCTGAATCACATAGTGCCTTCCATTGTTCTGTCATTTTGAGCCCTGCCTCCCACAGCCAGTTCCTTGAGAGCAGTGAAGGGTCTTAATCTTTTCTCCACATACACACTTCCCCCAGCACCCAGCAGAGTGGGAAACACATAGTAAACACCAGATAAACACAAGGTGATTGTTGTCCCTATAGGTAAGAGGCAAGCAAGAATTGAGCTGAAGTGATGGGTCAGATTTTACAAACAAGAAAGCCTTTCAATCAAATGACCAGATCATTTCTTTTGCTTGGATACAGGCCAAAGCCAAGCAGGAACAAGAAGAAACAAACTTAGGTTTTAAAGGAAGTATTTTTTTAAATCATTAAACTTATTTATTGTCTTGTTTTTCTCTGTTTGGTTTTGGGTTTTTTGTTGTCTTTGTTTTCTTAAGACAGGGCCTCACTTTGTAGCCCTATCTTGCCTGGAACTTACTTTGTAGACCATCTGGCTTTCAAGTCAGAGAGATCCACCTGCCTCTGCCTCCCAATTGCTGGGATTGGAAGTGTGTACCACCATGGCCCACTTTACATTTATTTTATTTATTTATTTATTTATTTATTTATTTATTTATTTAATGTGGGCACATGAGTACCACAACGCATATGTGGAAGTCAGAGAACAACTTGCAGGGATCAGTTCTCTCCTTTCACCCAAGGATTGAACTCTAGATCCTCAGACTTGGCAGCAAGCACTCTTACCAGCTGAGCTACTCCACAGGGCCTTAAGGAGGTCTTAATGGTACACAGTGAAATGGGAACCTGGAATACATGTTATGCAGTTTAGAAAGACCATGGGGATGATTTTTCAGACAAAAAGTTTCTAAGAAACATGCTGGCTATCATAAGCTATGATTTCATGAACTCCACCCCCCGCCCCCTTTTCTTCTCAGGCCTGTTTGAATCAAGGCAGACAGCTGTTTTCCTGGTTTGGTGACATGAGCTATTTATCTGCTTGTGGAAACCATGCCCTAATTTCTTTGGGCCAAAGTGTTTTCCCAGTTAGGAGCCCAGGTGTCCTCCTGTGAAGTGCAAACTATCAGAAACGAATACCTCCATTGTGCCACAAACAGAGGCACAGAAAAAGGAAGTGATGTGCATAATATCCCTCATGTTAGTGCCAGAGCTAGGACCAGCCCTGGGAGTTCTGATTCCCGATGCTCTTTCAATGGTGTGAGCTAGGACAAGCTCTTTCTCTTCAGTTAGATTCTCAAGTTAGACTTGGTTATCTAACTTTTTAAAATCCTACATGCCCTTCTTTGAATCTACTCCTGTGCATCTATCTAAAATGAAACTTTGCTATGTAGCTATTTTCTCCAAAGTGAAACATTCCCTCCTAGAGGGAGCAGGAAGGCTCCTAAGACTGAAGAAACTAACTACAGGGGCCGGAGAGGTGGCTCAGTGGTTAAAAGTACTTGCTATTCTTGCAGAAAACCCAGGTTCAGTTCCCAGCCCCACCCCCCAGTGGCAGCTAACAACCATCCATAATTCCTGTTCAAGTGGATGGGATACCCTCTTTTGGCTTCCGTGGGCACTGTATGTGTGCGGTGCACTTACATACATGCAGGCAAAACACTCACACACATAAAATAAAAATAATTTTTTTAAAGAAGCTAACTATATTTCCAAGGCTAGCAAACTTGGAAACTTGTAAGATTGATAACACTCCTTTCCAAGGTTATGTATGTAGGAAACAATTACTAGGGAAAGCAGACTCTATGTTGTTGCTGCTGCTGGCACAAGCAAATTGTTCAGGGAGTGCCACCTTGCTTTTTCAGGGCCATCGCTGGCGTGGGACTTTTAAGTGATACAGCTGCTTTGAGCTACCCATGCCCCTGTAAATAACCCCTCACTCAAGCTCCTGTAAGTAACCCAGTAAACACATTGGTTCACTAAGCTAGACTTGATTTGGGTGGAATTGTTTCTTTGATATGTCATCAGTGCCCTATCTGGGTTGAATGGATGCTTGTTCACATCTCGTCAAGAACAGTCACAATAAACCTGTAAATCCAATGCATGCATGATCTCCCACAAACAACGAACAATGCACAATCCCAATGTTCTGTGAAGTGCTATCAGGAAAAATCAACTGCGTATATATGGAGGAGAATGGAGAGAGAAACCTTTGTCTTGGTTGGTTTGCTTAGTGTTTCTCTCCCCACCCCCCATTCATTCAACACCAGCATTCATTCTCTACATAGTCATGGAGCCTATGTTATGTGCAGAGGAATGCTTTACACCTGTGGGGAATTCTTGCCCTGGAGGAGCTTAAGATCCACCCAAGAGATCACTCACAAACAAGAAAGGTTAAATAACAATATTTGAAGGAGGTATAAAGCCAAGCCAAAAAGAGCAAAACCTTCTTGTAAAAATGAACTACACAGGTAAGATTTGAGGAGCAACAGGAATTCAGGGGTAGTGGAGCTAGAGAGATGGCTCAGTGATTAAGAGCACTGGCTGTTCTTGCACAGGATCTGGGTTTGAATCCCAGCATCGACATGATGGCTAACAATATTCAATAACTCAAGTTCCAGGGGATCCAACACCCTTTTCTGGCCTCTGGGAGCTTTGCACGAAACAGGTGCACTTACATACATGCACTCATACACATAAAATAAAAATAAACAAAT